CTATTTATTAAAAGTGAAAACATTTATCAAGTAATCGCCATTACGAATGAGGGTAACGCTTACCCTTGGGAATGTCTTGTTTTTTATTGAGTAGTTTATGACTGAAAATATGCAATATCATGGAAGGAATTCATAACAGTGTAGGCTACAGATGTCCAACCAAAATTGATATTCTCATATTTTATAAGTAAAGATACATTATAATTAGAAATAAAATATTTTTTTATGTTTGACTTTAAAAACATACTGTGTATATCTAAGGTCAGGTAATTCCCACTTTTTAATCTCTTTGAAAATAAAAATATATCCAGCCAACTGAATAATTTCCTATATTCCTGAATGAAAAAAATCTGCCCAAATGAATTCATAATTAGTACAAATGAGAAGTACCAAAATAAATTCTACAATTTAATAATTATAATCAGCAATAATTCTGCCATCATTTTCATGAAAATCCACGTTATTAATTGTTTTATTACGCATGTGTTAATTTTATTTTATACAAGTACTTTCCGTTAAAGTTGTATCTATAAGTTAGAGAATTTTAAAAGACAATAGAGCGTATTACTTTTAGTTCGGAGTCGAGTACATCATATGCAATGGTACTTTTTTTTCCCCGCATTATAACACAAACATGCAATTCCTTTCTTGTCACAATTTATGTCCGGCATCATATAATACCTCCATATTTTGGCTAGGATCTCGGTCAATATAAGAAAAATATAATATCTCCGAACAACTTTTAAATTTTTTCACACGGTCCACAAGAAAACATTTCATTCCTTCGATTGGCATTAGCTAGAAATCGGATCGAGTTTTAGCAAAGAAATAAAGAAGCAAACAAACATGCATATCATCGTCAACGCCATTTTCTCTCGATTACACCCAGCATTCATGAAGAGATAAAGAGTACAGAAAACCAAGAACACAATGAATATTCTATGTGCATAATAATGATATGCGCAGTAAAATTGTTTGTGTAATTTTTAGTTTCCTCTGCTCGTGCAGTTTTTGATTTTACGTTTGTGCATTTTTTACCCCTTAATCGTGTAAAAAAATTCGGATTCGTGTATTTTTCGTTATGTTAGTGTTAAAATCTTTCAAACTATGTGCAATTTTTACCGATACGTGCATTTTTATTTTACTCGTGTATATTTTTCATCAAGCTCGTGTATAAAATCGTGATCGTTGTGCAGAAAATAATTTTGAAGCAATCGGCGTGCCATAGAAGTCCTACTTTAGAAAATAGATTCCGGTGGAAAGCTGGCTCTATGAGATATCTTACTCAACAACACTGAGGGTATGAAGTATATCTCGGTTGATCTAAAATGAAAGCACACTACTGCAATATCTACAATAATCAATATATTATCCAGTTATGTTTCTTTTATATTACCAAACTAGAAATCTTTTGATTTGAAAAAAATAATATTAATTTTGAAAAAAAAAATAAAAATTTTTTCAAGAATTTAGAGGATTTTGAAACCAACAACTAATGTAGATTATCCTTTATGAAACATAATACTAAAAACACCTAGTATGTGTACTCTTCACAACCGCATTTTACCACCGTTACTTAATATAATAAAAACATGAAGATATTTCAGGATTTTTTTTTAAACATCCGATCATTTTGATCTGAATAAAAGGAGAATGTGCTTTTCTTAAGAAGAATGGAAACTCCAAAAGTACATCTATTCTTTCAAGCTATTTTAAGTTCAAACCCAAATGATTAAAAGTCTCGTAAGAGACTTATGTTTTCTTAAGTGAAAACGGTTCAATCAGAAGCAACATGCGACATGATTGATAATTTTTACATAATAAACTATAAATAAATAAAGCTGTAAATAAATTCAAAAAATTCTGTGGCAGTAAATTAATGATAATGATAAAAATCGTTGCTCTAATAATAATATAATTAAGAAAATTTCAAGATCTTTATTATCAAGAAATTAAATAAGAAGGAGCAATAGAAATAGGCCAAGGGAAGTCAAAAATGGGAAAAAGAGAATATTAAAGTGTCTAGAATATTAGAGCGTCTCTACAGCTAGGTTAAAATAGAGTATTTGAATAATGGTTTGTATTTAAAAAGAAAACAGTTTATATTTGTAAACCTATGTGTAAACTCTTAGAACAATCATATCAATGACATTTTCTAATCGTCATTAAAATAAACGATGAAAAAGAAAGTGGAAATATTGAAAGAAAGATTTTAATTATTGTGAGGACATTTATCATCGGGGAATTATTAATTTTTCTGGCCAACACTGGTACCCAAATAAATGTTCATTTACGAATATAGACGATAGAAAAAACTGAACTATGATTTTGGCATTTCTTCCACTGCGTGGTATAGATTTATTAATTTTTTTTTTTTTGGTAATCTATTCCTCTTTATTTTAAAAGAAAAGAATGCCCCCCCCCCCACCAAAAAAGGCATAAAAAACTTAAGCTCACAAATACCAAAGACAATATTTAGGCCTTTATGTACGTTTCCACTTTGTTAAAAGTCTTGATATTTATGATTGATAATTTACGTACTCAGTTGCTTCCCTTTTTGAACGAAACAGCCTTAATGCATTTGAGCATGTTTAGAAATAAGTTTTCATTTTTTTTTTTAATTGAGCACTGTTCTCACTATGTGCCTTCAACATTTCTTTTAATTTATAAGTTATTGGCATGTTTTAGTTAGATTCTGCTTCCTTTATTTGACGCTAAATGTTTTTATCTGGGTTTGAATAAGGACTGTTCCAAGACAACGAAAATGCATAAACTACATTTCTTCTGCAAAACTATCTTGTGGTGTCTTAGTTATGATTATGCTGTTTAAGATACAAACACATCGTTTTCTGCAAAATATGTATCAAGTACATATATGGTACCAACATCTTTCAGTATCTCCTGATGAGCACAAGATAGCTTCTCAAACGCAATGCATTTTCTACACTAAAGCGACTGGGAATTAGTCATTAATGAAAGTAAAGATTAAATTTTCTGTGGAATAGGAGAGTTTTGTTAATTAAGTTAATACAGGTCAAGGCTTCAAAAAGATATGTTGAAGATATTTCAATGGGAATGGTACTCAATTCCAAAAATAGTCAGTGAAAACTTAATTCATAGCAAACCAAGGGATTTTATGGCTGTTATTCATGCAAAAAGGGGAGCAACTTAATATTTAAAAGTAAATTTCAATCATGAATGTAAAGCCTATAATAAAATTGTAAAATTCAACACATCTTTTGTTTGCGCCTTCGTTAGAGCATTTTTAAAATTTGCATTTAATTAGGTCACAAAAACATGTTAGGTTCAAAAGATTTTGAGCTTTATTTATTTATTTTCAACATATTTTATTTACATATAACAAATAACTGAACGCGGTAGACGAGTAATGTAATTTCAAAATACTTCGAATCAGGTGTACATTTTGTTCTTGGAAAACCTAACCGTGTGCCTGAATTTTCTGAAATTACGACGTTCTGGTGATTTTACTTTTTTATTACTTGTAATAAAAGGGGCTTGCATTATTAAAATTCTGAACTTTCTGATTCAATGTATTATAAGAGCTAGCAAATTAACTGTACGAAAAAATGTTTTCTTAAAATTATATATATATATATATATATATATATATATATATATATATATATATATATATATATATATATATATATATATATATATATATATATATATATGTATGTATATAAAATTTTAAGATTACATTTGATATTCCTTTCTGAGCACGTGTCAGATTGTTTGCCGATACACATTTTCTATTCATTTTTATGTCAACAAATTACTCCACACTCTATACTTCCTTTGAAAATCCATTTAAGCATCCATGTGACAAAACCGGATATGGTAACGGATCTTTCTAGAACATCACAAATATTGAAGAAATAGAGAGAAACTAAACTGTCACAGTAAACAAAATATAAAAATCGGAAACTTACCTTAAATAAACCTGTAAGGGCTGTGATCACAGAAAATCTCAAGGTGACAAGAACATGTCCACGACAAGGGTCAGTTTTAAGCCCATTAATAATTGTGTAAATGTCTACCTAAAAACTGTGTCAGATTTGTTGTAGTTACAATTGTCTGTACACACTGTTTCCCCCTCTCGACTGTCGTTAAGTAAATTATGATTATTTATGATTGATGGGAATCAATTGAAAATCCATTCAGAGCATTTATTACTTCTAATGATATATATCCTCAGGCTTTAACAGAACAAACGCAGGATTGTAAATGACACATTTTAACAAGAAAAATACATGTCCGTTCCTGTCCTTTATAGTATTGTGTAAACTTTATTTTTACACTGAAATTTACATACAAATGTATTTTTAGTGACGGTGAACTTTTTATAGTGTACTGATAATTTTGACAATAAATAATTGATTTATTTGTCTACGTAAGATAGAAGCTACAGACTACAAATTAATCTGTACTTTTATTATTTCTATTCTAATAATACAAGTATAATTATATTTAACTATGCAATTTTTTATTGTATAAACTCATATTATGGAATAAAACTTATATCTATGGCATGAAAGGTGTTTCTATGAAGCACATCGCCAACTGTAATTTGTGAAAGGTGTGAAGTTTTCACCTGCAAGCCGTCACTCATCAGACGTGAAAGTGAAAAATGTTTCCCATCTTTCGTACATGTGCGTACGCTCTTTTTACCTGGAAACAGTTGACGCAGTTACAACATTTTATAGCAATTATATCTGTTGGCAGTTTCCCAATGGATGAATCAGAGCAAAACTTCCATATATGAGACCATCAGATACAGTTCCCCTTCTCCGGTTTATAGGAGCAAATTTATTATTGTTCATCGTTGTTAGAAACTTTCTTCACAGATGAAATAATATGTACTGCAAAGTGATTGATAAAAAGACAAAAGACAATGATTGTCAAAGTAATATGACAATATTCTTGTATAATCTATCATTCACACGCACAAAAAAGGAAGTCATAAAACTACCATTTACCTTCTGTCTGGTAAAGAAACGTACCTGTTTAATTTATAATTTCTGATAAGTACATGTTCCTTCAACTTGGATATAAAAATCAAAATGACAAAAGAGTTTAATTGCAATGATAATTGAAATAGTTATAAAGATAAAAAAAAATATTTTCACATATTTATTAGTAAATATTCACAGCATTATCTTTTACCCTTTCATTTCTTCCTGCCAGTACTGAAGATCAATTCCCGGAAGTGACTTGCACGGAACCCTCGGATTTCTTCAATTGAAAGTAAATCATGATTCACTAAATTTTTTCAACAAAATATCCAGTTTCTCTAAGTTATCTTTTATTTAGTTAATCTTAAACTTGACTTCAATTTACATTATATTTATTGTTACATATTGTGTTTATTTTATTCATTATACGTAATATATTTTTCTAAGAGGTCCAACTACCTGCAAATTACATGATAAACAGTTTCATTTCATTAATCATAGCTTGTTATTAACATTCCTTTCTTCATAGTTTGATTTGAAATAAATGTTATTTTAGGGTCTCTGTATAATCAAGTTGATGCAGTTTTGAAAGACCTACCTCTCTGATACAAATGAAAGTGGGTCTCTCTGAATGTATTGAATGTCAAGGTTCTCACATAAGAGTTTAGCTAACGACGTCTTCTTAATTTCGCTTAATTGACCTGTAATGGAAAGTCACATTTAATGGTATATCGCTGCTGGTATCTTTCTGCAATTCATTCATTTATTTAAAAAAGAACATCATCAAAACAGTTTTTATTTATTCTGATTTTTGTCAAACATGTCCTCCATAGTGTTTTTGATCAATGACTCTGGATAAAGAAATAGATCATTTTAATTGCAGTTTGTTTTGTTTCTTACTTACTTAGAGTAAAGCCGGTGTAAGGATTGTAGTTTTCATACCAAAATCTGTCACCAACTTTGATATTTTTAAATTGTGTTGCAATGATACAGGCAAAAGTAGGTCCGGTGGCAGCGCCCGCTGGGATTTTTTCAGATATTCCTCCGCTAAACAGGTCAATATCATCTGGGTGCCTGAGAATATTTTCATGATGTTATAATATATGACACTGCTATAATTCAGCAGCATACATTTTGAACCTATTCATCTTGCAACATATATTTATAATGTACTAATATTATATGATATAAAACTTTTAAGAAAAGAATATATAGAAACTACATATAATGCAGTAAAAAATCAAATAATTTTTCCCCATCGATGACATAATTTTTATTTACTAAAATGGATTTAAAACTATTTCTTAAAATATATTTATAAGTACAGTAACCACAACCTACTTATAAACTTGGGATAAAAGTTTGACGACTTCCGGTTCATGATCCACAAGCCCTCCTGGAGCGTTGGAGAAGTACATAGCTGGCTTCAGTCCACAAAGTTGTCTCCAGTGATTATATGGGGGAATACCCTGCTCCCGCGCACGCTGAATGTTGAGTGCAACAAGGTCAAAACTTTCTCCTTTATTGTCCAAGAACAGAAAGTCACGAACTCCGTCTTCTACAAAGCGATCATCTTCCATGACAGGAAAAGATATCAGCCATCTTCCAAAATCAGCAAGAGCCTTTCCAAGGTTTTGTAAGACAAACTTTGGTTTATCAAAGGTTTCAAATATAGGAGCATCATGTCTAATAGTGTAATCTTTGTTTACCATTGACTGAACATTTGGAATTCTTGTGTGAGGGAATCGCATGGCTGCGGCAGAAAATCCCATCATAATAGAAACATCCTCTGAAGGATCGTACATATGATTGTAACCGTAGTCGGTGGACCAAAGGCCATACCTATCCATGTCTTCTTTCCGTAGAATTGTTGGCAGGAGATGGTTATAAACAAGATGTTGTAGACATCCAATAATTATTTTACGTGTCTCTTGAAAAATTCTTTCGTCATCCCAGTGTAGATTCAGGAGAGCCAATCCAGTTGCTATTCTGTTATGTTGTCTTAAGAATATTGTATGCAGAACAGTTAAACCGGGCACGTGATTTACCCTAAAGTCGCCTGAAAATATAATTTATGCGTATTTTTCTAACAGAAAACACATTCCTCATGCAGAGTTTTTTTCTCATAAAAACGATAATGGCAAATTTTTTGGCTAAATGAAATGAACACTTAGAATCAGATAATTATTATTTTATCAAAACAACAACCTTACCTGTGCCAAAGCAGTAATCTCCCGGTTCTTCCTGAATACAAATTGCTTCTTCTGTCGGTGGAGGAAGACCTAGTGGCGTCATCTTCATCAAACCTACCACAAAACGTTTGCTATTTATTCTAGTAATTTTCTACCTATGCTTTCATTTAGGTCTTTAAGCTTAATTAAAGTTTTCTTTATTAAGCAACTGTCCTAACTCAAAAGTATGAGGACTTGGGCGAATTTTTTGCATGTAGATTGTCGCTTGTGAAACTTGAGGAAGAAAATTTGAAGAAAGAATTTTGATAGAATGCAATGAAAAAATTCAGTAAGCTTTGCTTCAAAGATAAACGTCAGATATTGTGTGTTGTAGTTTTTTTTAAGTAATAGATTAAATAAAGATTCTTTTGTTTCATAGTCTAGTACTTTGCTAGAAAGATTGAATTAATTGAAATACTTTTATTTTGTAATTTCAGAACCTGACATAAGTCAAATGTCGTTATTTATAAGATTAATGCTTACATTTTCAGATAATTGTAAATTTGTAACTTTGTACTAAAAAAAATATTGCAATTCATCATATATTATATGGTACATATTTTGTAAAAAAAAAAATGTTGTAATGCCATATCTATGGAGTTCTAATAAAATCGAAGTTAATAAAAAAAAAAAAAACATGTCCCTTTCCTTATTTTTCCCCTACTCCCACGGTCCCATTCCCTTGTGTATGAATAAAATCACTCTTGAATTTCTGCAACTCAGTGATGTGTTTGAATGTAGCTTATAATTTCAAACCAACAATAAAAAGGAAAATCATTTTACTTAGATAATATCAATCGTTTCAGATTTCACCAATTTCCGAAGCCTGATTTAAACACTGGCTTTAAGTTGGACTGTCTGTCTTATTTATCATTTACTCAAGTTACATGTATTTCTTTTCTAAGATAAAATCTTACCCCCGACTCCAGCTCTAAGTTTAAGTTGCTCGTCAGCATCCACCCCATAAATCTGGGATCCGTCCAAGTAAGATGTGGCTTGATTCATAGGTGACCTGACCCCTAATGGAAAGACGTGTGGAAATCTCAACCAATATTTCTGCATAAGCTTTTAAATCTTTTCTGATTTATGAATGAAATTCGGTATCATATAGTTAAAAAGTATGACAGGAACACGCTTTCTTGATAAAACCTATTGCAGAGTAATTTTACAATTTTAAAGGTCAAGATCATGTGTGGTATATGATATAAAATGACACATCAGCTTACATGTATGTTGATATCCCTCCATGTCACATAATATTACTATATTTAAACATAGTTTAAAGATAAGGTAGTTATTTGCACATGATTTTATGTTACGTCTCATTTACCAATGCCCATATGCCCTGATCTTTGAAAATCATGTGCGAATATGAGTCAAGATCATGTAACATGTTTGATCATAACAAGAAGATGTTAGATATTCTTTGTTAATCAATGATTACATATTTACATTATCTACATTTCTCTATAAATTCATAATTTCTTTAAGTGTAAACCAAACTCATTTTCTCTAGGTTTCCGAACGATTACTGACCCGCATCACAGTTTTTGTCCAGTCCTGGAGTTGCTCGTACAAATGACATACAATGGTCTTTAAATCGAGGATCTCCGGAGGGGATATTTATAGGATAACACTGTGATCTGTGACAAAACATTTTGATTTAAATTGAATTAGTTCCTTCATTTAAATATCGACGAACTGTTTTTGAAATATTTAAATATTTTTTTTTTTAAATGTGACTATTAGTAATGTGAAAGAATTGAATAAACATTAATTTACTTTCTGTGATATGGAAATATTCCCAAACTGAACGAATGCGCTTTTACCTTTTCTGTAAAATGTCGTCTGGAATTCCACAACACATAATATCAGAGCTATTAAAACCTGAAATGAATGAATACATAGTGAAAAAAGCTATTGTAAAATAATTGAAATGCCGACAATACAAATTTATTTTATACGCGATGTTGCTAAATAAAGTGTTGATAGTAAAAGTGAATATCTTTTTCCACAACACAAAATTTCATAACACATAATATCCAAGCTAAATTAAAAACCGAAAAGAATGAGTACGTAGTGAAAGCAAGCTATAGCTACATAGTATTGTAAAATAATTATTTATTTAGAAAATGTTGGCAAATGAAATCAATTTTATACACCATGTTACTAAATAAAGTTTTGTGAGTAAAAGTAAATACTGTAAAATCGTTAAAATTCAAAGGGGCCAATTTTCGTTAATTGTATTCGTATTCACTCATGCCTACAAAGGAAATATAATTTTGTCACCCTAATATATTGATTCGTGAAGGATGTTAATTCGTGGATGAAAAGTACCCAGGAATTACACGAATATTGAACCACCCCGAAGGCTAATGATTCCAAAGTATCTACATCCCTCACAAAAACTGCTTTTGCTTTGTTTTATATGCACTTTTGAAACGCACCTCGTTGTAAAGGAGTTGAAATGACGTCATGTTCAATGAATTGTCCAAATTGCATAGCTAAAACAGTAAAGCGTCTGCTAGGAAGGGAACAGTGACCAGATTTATGGATGACATTACTGATCATGCGCGGACTTGGTAGAGAACATCCGGTAACGCTGGTCTGTCTTGGTTGATTGATTCCTGTTTTGAAAAAATGAACTAAGACATATTTGTAGCATGTACAAATGAATTTTCTACTTTTGTTTCAGTTTTACACTTCTACGTTTTGAATTTACCTAACTAGGTGTATATCAATTGAAAGCATGTTTTGATATTTGTATTTTCACCCACCAAGGTAAATTCAGAACTTAACAGCAGTATTTTTGTTCCCTTGTAGGTCATCAATTCAAAGACAGTACTTTCAGTACGATGCATCAAAACTGTTTTTCCCCAAAAGTTGATACATAACATGAGTCATGTCGTCATCGACATCGTCATCAGCAAAATAAAGAGCTTAAACGAACCGTCTTCGTAAGCGTTGTCCATCATTCTCCTCTGCCTGGTATAAGCAGCGCCAACGGACGAGTCGTTAAGATTATTACAGGAGCCGTCGGCAGTTCGGTATATTACCGTGGGGTCACACTTCGGCTCTACAAACGGACATGATTGAGAGACTTGCCTCCTCCATGCGTCCACAAATCCAGGATGATTCTTGAGTTGTTCGAGTGTCATACCAGTTCTGTAAAATGTGATTATTAAGCGTGATCAAAAGTTAAATTGGTATAATTGTATTTTTGAATGCATGTATTCTTAGGGAAGGTCAAATTAACATACTGGTATATTCAAACATTTGGTCAAATCTTTATCTAATAAATATGATTAAACTTATTTCTGAATTGAGAGGCTTAAAAAGATCGAAGACAAGTTTAAATGAATTAAAGATGACCATTTAAATCTTCAAGCACTAGACTCAATTTGAAATGAATTACACTTATAATTTATAATCAAATTTTGTATGCATCTATTACACCTTTTTGTAGAAAATTTAACACCTTTTATTCATTCTAGACCATATTAACATCCACTGAATATTATTTTCTTTATTTCTTATGAAAACCACGTCGTTATTTAGACTTCAACGTTGCAAAGCAAGCCCCTAAGAGATTTCTTGAGCAGTGGCTCTTACGTCAATGGAACATACAATGAAGTAAATATCAAGTATATTTAACGAACTTAATCCTACTTAATATAATTATTTAGATAGACATAAATATGAACAATACAGTGTCTCTCTTTGTTTATTCGTAGGGGAATTAGCAACTCCCTTACGTGGGTCATGCATTTTTTTTGTATTTTTCTGCAGCAGATGCAACATTAATTTCTATACTAATAACCAAAGAAAGCATTTTATTGTTTATCTCTAATATTCAAATAATTTGGTCGCCCGCGTGGCGCAATGGTTAGAGCGTCTGCTCTAGAGTAGCGGAGTAAGGAGTTGTTCCTTACGTCGCGGGTTCGAATCCCACGGTGGGACGTGGAGACCGGTCCTTCGGATGAGACCGTTTAAACCGAGGTCCCGTGTCGCAGTAGGTGCTGGCACGAAAAAGATCCCTCACTGCTCAAGTGTATAGGTCAGAATTTGTAGCCCTCCATCGGCAAGTGGTGGCGTCTCCATATGAGTGAAAAATTCTCGAGAGGGACGTTAAACAACAAACAATCAATCAATCAATCAAATAACTTGTGACCGTCACGGTAGCTCCGAGATCGGAAGTTCGTGGGTTCGAGCCCCGGCCTCAACTGATAAAAAAAAGTCGATAAAAAATGGGTCCTCCGGATGAGACCTTAAAAACTGAGGCACCATGTCACGGCAGGCGTTGGCACGATAAAGAACCCTCACTGCTCAATGGCCCTGAGTGCCGAGTAAAGGTCTAAATTTGAAGCCCTTCAAGGGTATATGATGACGTCTCTATATGAGTGAAAAATTCTCGAACGGGACGTAAAACAACATTCAATCAATCAAATAATTTGCATTTTTTGTTAGAAATCCAAGGGATGTTGAACACCTCAGAAGATCCCAGTTTGTTGTAAAAGATATAATGGTACTGTACGAGCCAAATTGGTCAGTAGGCAAAACTATACATTTTAGCTATGGACAAACAAAAATCGCTTTAGTCTTGACCTCTATCCAAGAACTTTGGTTCTAGGTCACTGCATATCATTTACCCAAAAGTATTCCTTATTTTGGGACATTAGCAGATTGAGCCATATATAGGAAAATCTGCTCAGGCAAGGATTGGACAGAATCCTTGATCCAGCTTTGACCTTTTTAGGCACAAACTTGGATCAAGGGCACATATAGACAGACATATATCATTATAAAGGGCCCACAAATCGGAATCCTGTTTAAAAATATTAGGTAGAATTCAATTTGAATCTTCAATTAATTAGGTGCACAATTATTTGCACAAATGATTTAATGATAGGTGCAAGCATTTGAAGATAGCTGCAGATATTTGAATATATTGTTATTTGGCTTTCCATAAATATTTGCTGTTTACTACTGATGTATCCACAACTTCAACTTAGACAAAATTTTCTGCTGTGTCACAGGGTCAATCGAAAGGTCAAACTACAAAAAGGCAGTGTAAAATTTTATGGCCCCAAGGTCATAAAAAATGTTAAATTATTAATTTATTTAACTACTTAGAATCGTTTTCCCTTTCTTCTTTTTTTAAAGAATTTTTTCGACAATAATTACCGTCTAAGAAGTTTCTTTGTGGCTGCCACGGTTACCCAGGCCTTGTCAGACAAGGTGTTGACCTTCTCGGCGTTTTTAGTGTACAAGAAACGGCCAAGGTGAGTGATAAAGCTCACCCCTCCATCTCTTTCATGATGATCGATACCTAGTGAAGAAAAATAAATAAAAATCAATATTTCTATAAAAATACCCTGGATTCCTAACTTCGTCATCAAGACAATAAATCTCACGGCTCAATTATCAATCTTCTGTTCGATCAAAACCTTGCGCATTTCATCTCCCAATTTGAGCATAAGCTAAAAGACATTTTAATGCTAAAATACAATACAACTGATACAGCGTTTTAAATAATAGTGTCATTACACAAAGAGAAAACATTAAAGATCCTCAATATTCTTATTTCAGACAAAATAATCCTTAAAATTTTAAGAACTATTAATTTTGTTTCGTGAAATTGTATTAATCAATACGGATAGCTTAATAAATGACTTTTTTTTTACCTTTTTTGTGCAGATTTTTTTCATTTTAAGATCCCTGCATCTTTACTATGAAAAGTAAATTCTCAGTACAATGTAAAATGAATTCATCCAAAAGTATCTACAACTAAGCATATTTGATAAAGGAAGCATTGCTGATCTAAGACAATGCAATGCTGTGTTTATCAGCTGTATTATATACTTCAATCTGGTGTGATGGTTGAATATTTGATGGGGATGGGGATAGAATACATGACATACATTTGTATTACAAACACTTTTCCCCGTGTAACTTTTTCTGAATAAAAGAAGTAAAGTTTTTAGAATATCTACATATGTATTACTTTGAAGAGAGTTTCAGTTATCCTGATGACGAACAATTTATCAGCAGTAATATCAGTCTGATGGTCTACATGAAGCTCAAATAAGAAAATGTATATCCTAATGTCCTTTTTGTGTGTTTGAATGAAATACTGAGTAAATGGAAGTGTTTGAAATTTATTAACTAAGAGTATTTTATTTTAACTTTAAAATTATCAGAATATGATCTAATACTTTTCATGGAACAGTGACGCGCTTTAGGCAATTTGCCTGACCGAAAAGCATTAGGGCATATCTTCATGAACTGTCAAAACTAAAATACCTGTCATTAATAGAATCTTACCGATATCCATCATATATTTGTCAATCTGTTTTTGTAACGTCAATTCACTGTTGGCCTCCTCTATTGCATCTTGCACGGTTTTGTAAATCATGGGGTACGAAATTTGGCGTTTCTCGCGTACCGTTTCTTCTGTTGCCCTTTGATGGAAATTATTCAGCATCAACAGAACAAGAAACGACCAGCCCCAAACCGCCATCCTGGAAGCCCAAAAAATCTCTTTCTTATTTGGGTAGAGTTGTTTCAGATGATTTAAAAACAGTATGGTCCTTATAATTTATATTTGAATTGCACAGTGATGATCTTTTCTTAAATATTTTTCTACACATGAAAAATGGTTTCCAGTTCTACATACCTATCGTCTGCTCGCAAGCACGGTTGTTGGAGAAAGCGTCCTGAAGGGTGTCGTAGTTGCACAGGATGCGCGTGATGTAAAACTCGTGTTTCGGCAAGAAAAACATGTTTCCCGCTTTAAAACACGAGGTGGTCATGTTAGTTCACAAAGACGAAGACTTAAATACAGGACTTCTTGTGTTTTTCACAGTTCATTTTTGGAAGGTAATTTGCTTTATTATCATTTAATGTGAGAAGTGGCGAGGGAAATGAGAGCAGAGGAGTGCTATTGCAAACATGACTCACTGCTTTCTTAAGTATGTCCAAGGTACACGATGATGCATGAAGCTGATACAATATATCGGAAGGTGACTTGGCATTTCCACTTAACATATCTGATTCTATACAAGAACCAAATTTTTTATCGCATCTATAAGCATAATCGAAGGGTCATTTTTTAAACAAATGACAATATGTCACCATATTTGACTTTAGTCATGTATACTTAATTTCACCTGTTAATCCACAATTTAACATCTGTAATAAACATTTTTAACCATATGTGCGTAAGAAGACTGAAACTATGCATAGATCTAAGATCAAAAATTAAATAAGATTGTCTTCATAGGCATTTAATTGTCATTACGGTTGTTCAGTATGATATTTAAAGACAACATTTAAATGTGCTTGGTCATGCATTTATTTCCCTTTTCACTTTGTGAAAGCAATGAAATCGGATAAAATTAAATCATTGCATATTTATTTCTAGTATGAAAAAGTAGTATAAATGTAAAGAAAAAGTCTAACTTTATATTAAAAGGTATAGAAAGAAATATTGTCATATCATTTCTAACTCTCTACTATCGACTCAGACGTGTCTAAGAGAGGAACGAACAGCCACTCTGTACAAGAGATTGACCATTTCTGTGTCAATTACTGTCGTGGATCTAGATCAACAAAGGTTACTGCTGTGCTCCATCTTATTATATCTATTGCTTGACCGCATAATTAAGTGCTAATATATCCGTCGTTCTAAAAGTTTCTCTCATTTCATTTAATGGAAAGAGAGAACACTGTTTAATTCTTAGAAACATTATCCGTAAATATACCATAAATCCGACACATGCTTTTAACAGAAACAAGCCATTATTGACAGTTACCTTATTTAGGCTTACATTTTACAGTTCTACTAAGCAGATGATGGTTACTTGGCCATTAAATAGTGAATATTCCGACCTGCAGATCACTCCTCGTGTAATCCTCTTATATATATCTCTGCTATCTTATTTTATTTGTAAGAGTTAGAGCCTACATTTACTGGGTATTTTTTTCTTAATCCTCAATTCTGTTTTATTTTTCAGGATCTGATTTAAAAAAATGCCATTTAAGAAATTGTAAAATTATCTACATGTAGTTATAAAAGTGTATTTATTTTTCATTAGTCTCACGAGACTGTGCAAAATGTTCTCGGTGCTTTTGGTTTGTTATTGACTTACAATACAAAATTATTATGTAGAATTTTACCTTTGTCATTCATGTAATTATATATTCATATGTCAAAACATGTACATGTATTAATTTTCATCATGGAAATCTCCATCATTAAAAATGATGCAAAGTTTTTGTATTCGTGACCTATTGTTTGAATAAAATATGAAGATAACGAACAGTATTCAAGCTCAAAATCCATTAAATCAATACAAATCGGGAGCAGAGCATATGGACCTCCAAAAACATCAGAGGTGGGATCAGGTGCCGTGGAGGAGTGAGCATCCCCTGCCGATCGGTCATACCCGCCGTGTGCTCCTTGTCATGATCGGAAAAAGAAAACAGAAAAATCCGTAGACATTTCAGTGTGTAAATAATGGCATAACAATTAGTATGAAAAATGTCAGTCAGCATTTGACTTAATGATGTGTTGTATTTGCTGACAAGGTCATTGTATCGACCATTAAACTTGCGAAATGATGACTTCAAACGAGATTGTTGATATCCTTGTTTCATCAACTTGGTTTTCAATAGCTTGCCTCGATTTAGAAATTGTTCATACGTAGAGCATGCTCTTGTGTATCTAAACAACTGGGAGACAAAAACCCATATGCAGGTGATAAGGGTATATTGCTACATAAGTAAGGGAAGTTGACGATTGAAAACTTGAAGTCATCACGTTTATCATAAAGCTTTGTTGTTAGGTCACTATTAATTTCCTTTTTTTTTAGTAAAATATCCAAATATGAAGCAGATGCATCGAACAATGTGGTATCTTTTATTTCAAGCTCAATGGGATATATCGAGTCGACATATGAATGGAAGTAACTATTGTTGATTGATAATACGTCGTCAATATATCTAAATGTCAAGTTGAAGGCCACAGCAAGTGTTTTCTACTTCTCGTGTAGAAGTATTTGAATAAATTCTGCTTCATATGAATACAAAAAAGTCGGTCTGCTAATAAGGGGGCGCAATTAGTACCCATGGGCATTCCAAGAGATTGTTGGAAGACCTGATCTCCAAAAGCTACATAGATATTGTCAATCAAAATCTCATGCATCTTTTCAAATCAACTTCAGAGTACTTGTGTGTACAATCAGAATGTTTTTCAACAAAATAATCTTTCAAATGATCAATGACAAGGTAAGTATATTTACGAGGTTAATTTGTATTGTTTGTTTGTTTGTACGTATGTTGTTTAACGTCCCTCTCGAGAATTTTTCACTCATATGGAGACACCACCACTTGCCGGTGGAGAGCTACAAATTTTGTCCTATACTCGGCACTTACGGCCATTGAGCAGTGAGGGATCTTTTTCGTGCCAGCACCTACTGCGATACGGCCTCATCCGAAGGACCATTCTTCACGTCCCACAGTGGGATTCGAACCTGCGACGTAAGGATCAACCCCTTACTCCGCGACTCTTGAGCAGACGCTCTAACCACTGCGCCACACGGGCAACTCAATTTTTATTGAAAAAGCAGCTGTCGATGTCAAAAAGCATGGATTTAATTTATCGTGGGGAATGAATGGTTGTATAAAGTGTTAAAAGTCTTACGTTTTGATGATTTTGGTAAAATTTTGTGATTTCAAATTTTCTACAGGTTTCTTGGAGCTTTCAAGTATCCATAACTGATTTACACCACTTCTCAAATATACTGTTGTACATGTAGAGTACTCCTAAAGTTTCTCCTTCACTGCTGTAAATATTTCAGTGAGGAGAAAAGAAAGAGGCTTGAATATGAATTTGTGATATCGAAAAAAATATTGTCTGATATCAAGAACTAGATTTTTAAAATATTATTTGAATTTTTTTTTTACATTAGAATATGAAAGTAATGAAAGTAATTTTTAATTGAAAATTCAACGTTTTCTCATTTTGGATTATTATTTTTCAAAATCTTATAAAACAGTAGTTTGTAAAAATATAAAAAGAAATTTGTATCAACAATTCGAATCATGAAAACAAAAATGATCTGACATTAAGTCTTAAATTTTTATGAAAGTAAATATTTATTTTCTATCGGAAAAAATAATAATAAGAAGAAAAAAGAAAAAAAGAAATAGTATGTTAGTATGGTGTGTTTGAGCTTAGGAGATGATATAACGTTTAAAAAAGCAATTTATCATAGAAAGCTATACTGCACTATGAAACATTAGAAAAAATGGACTTTAACAGCTTTGTTCTTTTTTTGCTTACATTAATGCCTCACATGTCATTGCTGAAGTGTACTTTCTCCTTCAATAACATGTTCTTCCTTTTGTAAAAGGTTAAATGGAGACCTGAAGAGTCTAATTATAGAGACTATCGAATGTATTCTGCATTTGTACAAGAATGATATTTCGGCAAGAAAGGACAATAAAAAGGAATGTTTTCCTATTCGAGCCTATTGTAGAATCGTGCTTACTTGATATTTTCCATTCAGCCATTTATTTTCTTTATTTTCCTGATATTCATTATCCCTCAACGGCAAAGTTATAAATAGAACCACCTTTTTGTCTAGGCTCTTTCATTCATTGTCCTAAGATGCTCGTTTTTTTTTGTTTTGTTTTGTTTTGTTTTTTTTTTTTTTTTTGTAAAACGCTTCTCAGAATTTTTTTGCCTGTTATTAAAAATTTTGTTTTTGAAAATTATGATAAAAAAGTTGAACAATCCAAGAGATGCCACCGGGAAAATTTATAATAACAGTTTTTACTTTGGCATTGTTTTCACATTTAATGCTACAGACCCAGAGAAATTCTATAGTAAGTTTTTTCCTCTCATCCAATTTTACTTATTCGTTTCAGCAAATTAACATGGTTTTTTTCTTATGTCGATGCCCTGAATCAACAACATAGCCTCATAATCCATCAATTTATAAAATGATCTTTGCAACAAGTGCCATTTATACACTGTAACAAGAGGTACATGGACCACAACACTAACCTAACTCGCATACAAAATAAAAATGAGACCCTTTTTTGAAGACAGTAATTTAAGTTTGAGATTTTAACAACTTTGATTTACGTACTGATGCTTAAAAATTGCAATCTTCTTGTTACCGCGGAATTAAATCTATATTCATGTAAACTTTGAAAACTAGTTGACACATTGACGTTTTAAAGATGATTTTAAAGATTGTTCCAATGTAAATCTGGGTCAATCTTTGATGCCGAATTGTGGTAGCAAACTGCTGTAAATCACTTTTTATTCGCAAGAACAAGAAAAGAAGGCGTCCGCTCGCGAAAATTTAATTCCTGCGTATTACAGTATTATCAAAGATATATACCGGTCACAGTAGCCTAGTAGTAGGGCGCTCGCTGAACATGATCGGGAGGCCCGGGTTTGATTCTCGTTCATCGCGCCGCTTCAAACCTAACACGTAAACATAGGTAGTGACTGTTCCTTCTCCAAGCGCCCGGCACGAGAGGTGAAAGTCACGGGTCTTTCAAATGAGACCTTAAAAACCGAAACCCCGTGTCACAGTAGGCGTTGGCACGATAAAGAACCCTCACTGCTTAATGGCCCTGAGTATCGAGTTTAGGTCTAGATTTGAAGTCCTTCACCGGCATACGGTGACGTCTCTATATGTGTGAAAAATTCTCGAATGGGACTTTAAACAACATACAATCAATCAATCAATCAAAGATTATATAGAACAAATAACCAGATATCGCGAAAATTCTGTCTCTCTTATAAAACATTACTATCTTGCAAAATATTGGTGATTTACAGTAAAATTATGGGACCGTGCTTTAATCAAATTTTGAATATACTCTAAATTGATATGCCTTTATGTTAAATTGACTAAATATGACTGTGGCCATGCTATAATTTAGAATCATCATTGTTCATGGGGTCACCCTTATCCTCGAATTTACATTCCCACGAATGATTATTTTATCAACGTATTGTTTCATTTTGTTTAACTGTATAAACAAGTAACCAAAGAAATTACGTCCCAAAGAACCAGCAGTTTTTTTCGTGCCCACGAATATTGACCCCTACGGATTAAAATGATTCCACAGTAATTCATAAGATGTCTTTTAAAACCTTTCTTATATATTTTTATGCTAAACTTTGATCCCATATTGTGGTTATACCAGGACAGCATGATTTGAACAAACTTGAATTTATACTACATAGCTAGCTTACATTGTATTTTTTTATCAACTGTGATTCACATGTTTTTGAGAGAAAAAAAAATCAAGATTATTATTACAAACCGTATTTCCCAATGAAAGCATTCGACCTCCTTGTGGCTACACTATGCTCTTTTGGCTATGTTTGATCATTGGGGAAGCTTTGTTATAAGTTCTGTTTTTTTCTGGTGCAGATGTTCTTGATTTTTAAATACCGGTGGTCCAACCAACATTTACTACCTATTTCATAATTATAACACTTGAAAAGAATCAGGGTTCTTATATAGAGTACACATAGATTCTTTTACCCAAAGATGCTCTGATTGAAGTTTGATTGCAATTGGTCCAGTCATACTTGTCGAGTGATACTTGAGAGGAAAATCGAAATGTGAAAAGTTTACAGACGACAGACAAATAGACGCCGGACATTGTTGTGTTCCAGACGTATCTTATAACAAATAAAACGAAAGTGTAAAGATACTAAGATTTTATTTTTTTGAGATCATACAATGTAATAAATGCAGTATTTTAACAATCCAAAGGAAAGTCAGAATTAATAGAAGATGAACAAAATGTAAGAAAGTTCAAAGGGCATATCCCTTCGTTGGAATGTTTACTGAGATCGGACACCGAGTTATCCTGAGCGGAAAGTTAAGATAAAAACAGGATTGTTTTCCGAGACCGGAAGAGAGCAATATGGCCAATACAAATTTAGCTTTTTGAATTCTGCAAAATTTTACGAATAATACCATTGTTCATTTTTCAAATATTGACAAAATTCTGAAGGGGGAAGAAAAAAATTGCGGGTGAACTGCGTAGTCACCTCATGACATTTCACCGTTGTTATATGCTTTCGTTTCCAAAAGGCCCAGGGCTTTAAGTAAAGAGAAAATCTGTACATCTTTTGGTTCAGTATTTGATTTGCACTTGCTGTTAAATGAACACGCACCTGTAAATGGATTAAAAGATGATTAATACATGTTAATGCAGCCAGGAGTCGATGTCAGAAAATAAACATTCATGAGAACCAAGCATAGCTCTTTAGAGCAATTAAACAACGCTTATGAAATGTCGATAAATGGCTAGAGTAATTGTTTACAATTGCTTGATTTATCTGAGCTAGTACATTGAAAAGCACAATATATTTTTCCTTTAGCATGAGTTTTGTAATGTTTTATCAAATGCCTGTCAAATTTTTACTTCTTTTTAAAACTTCTTTATAATTTAAACTTTGAACGATTTGCATAAAATTATTTACCTGGATCACAGCAAATTCCGTCTGCAACACAGTTTCCTTGATTGCGACTTCCACACGGTGGGCCTGAAACAGCACAAGGAACAGTACTTTCATTCTCCTTTTCGCATACACTTGACTGAGATGTACCCATATGACAACCGAAAGGACCGCAGCAAATATCGGGACCCACACATTGCCCCTGCAATCCAGGTCCGCATGCCATACACTGCAAAAGCATTAAGATTACTAATTTTTGGATGCTTGAAAATTAATGATCCACGATGCATTTATATGTTTTAAATAAAAAGAGTATGATTTATTTTCATAAATGCCCTGAAAGATGCTCATGAAATGCCAAAATAGAACAGTTATACTTAATGGTAAGGTAAAGTAACAAAAGAGAACCTTTCATAACGTTTCGATAAACTACCCTTGCATTTCAGGTAGTCTGTATTTCCCAGCATATGAGGAAAGTGCAAAATGAAAGCATGGTCTCCCCCCCTCTCTCTCTGTTAGGTGTATCATGTATTAATTAAATTATTCAAGTATACTCATCGAAATTGAAAATTTTTAATTTAACATGAATCTTTTTTCATAGATAACTGTATATTTGTGTTTAAAATTATATGCTTTCACCAATTTTGATTTTTATGTCCTTTAATTGTTTGATAAATACAACAGAAAAACTGGAACTAACCAAATGCTCAAGTAAGGTTTTTGGATCTACATAAGTTTACTTGTGAACACGGCATAGCACGGACCCCTGGGAACCCCAGAGATATGATCAGGTGCCGACGAGGAGTAAGCATTGACCCGTCGACCTGTCACATCCGTCGATAGCCCTTTGTATTGATCAGGTAAACGGAATACCTGGGAAATCCGTTGTCAAATTTTGTATACAAACGACCTAACAGTTGGCATGTAACATGACAATGCTAGATTGTATTTACAAACAAGGTCATTATAAAGACTGTAGAATTTTCCAAATGCTGATTTTAAACAAGAATGTTGAAATCCCTGTTATATTATTTATTTGACAGTAGCTTGCCTCGGCTTAAATATTGATCGCATAGAGTATTCTCTATATCATAGATATACTGTATCTAAATATCGAGTTCAGGGTCATAGCAAGAGTTCTCTTCTTCTCATATAGAAGTTTTTGAGTAAAAAGAATATAAAACAGGTCGACTAATACAGGAGCTCAATTACAAAGTATGAAAATTTCAAAGTTCCATTTTTACTGAAGAAGCAGTTGTCTATGATATAAAAAACCCAGTTTTTAATCTGTCGTGAGAAATATATCAATAAAATATTGATTGATTGATTAATTAATTGCATGTTGTTTTACGGTCCTTTCGAGAAATTTTCACTTGATAGAGACGTCACCATACATGTATGACTGAAGGGCTTCAAATTTAGACCTTTACTCGGCTCTCAGGGTTACTGAGCAGTGAGGGATATTTATCGTGCCAACGCCTGCCGTGAAACGGGGCCTAAGTTTTCAAGGTCTGTTCTGAAAGACTCGCAACTTTCCTTCAAAGTCTTTTGCGCTAGGTGAAGGAACACTTTCTACCTATTTTTTTTATCGACTTAAGTCAGTCGCGCCCACAACCTTCCAATGACGGAGCGAGTCCTCTACTGACTGGGCTACCTTGATGGTCATAAAATATTGAAAAGGCATAGGTTTTAATGTAACCGACTTTGAAAAAAAACATATGGCTATAAATTTAACTAAAAGTTCTTTACAGTTTTTGAGAATCTACATTTGATTTACATCACTTTATGAATATGTTGTACAGTACAGAGCGTCTGACGTTTCTCCTTCACAGCAGTTAATTTAGACAGGGCTTGATAAAACATTTGTTTTATATTAAAAGGCGATTTTTCCATTCTCTTCCCATAAAACAACTACTAGTAATAGGTTTCAATATCTTTAGTATATATTTTGAAGCATCCTGCAGCAATTAAGATTCAAGTTTGAGCAAGGCGTAGCCCCTGGAGTAGGAAAAAGACAAAAATATTGGTACATGCTTAAACATGGAACAAACAAAAAATGTTTTGCAAACTTGTTATCAAATATATTGTAGATAAATATTGCTGAAAACGTATTAATTAATATAAATGACCCCATGAGGTGTTTCATTGACACATTCATTCAGCAGGAAGAATAAAGTGGTTCAGATAAGTATTTTAACTATTTTGGTTAGAAAAACAAAAATATAGGAAATATTATATATTTGTAAACTGGCTTTGAGGAGGCTAGCCCTCCGAAAAATAATTACTGTGTTGTGGGGATATCAGATTTATATTTTTTTTTATATCCAGTAAGTACACGTATATATTTTATTATACTAGGCAACACTAAGATATATGAAAGGAATTTGGCCGAAAAAAACATGTCACATTAAATAAGTTCAATGAACAATACGAAGCCAAAGATCAAGAATTATCAAATTTATTAACTTTAAGTCACGAAGAAAAATAATATTTTGATGATTGACGAAATACACTGCACTCATTTTGTTGCACAATTAGTTTTTGCTAAAGGTTTCATTTGATTCTTCAAGAAATAATGTCAATACAATAAATTCTCATAAAATTAAATCAAAAATGAAAAAAATGCTTTCTTGTTTAAATAATGCTTTCTTTTAAAGGATGTTGAAGTTCAAGTTAATTAAACATGATCAAAAGAATCTAATCGATGACTCGAGAGTTGACGGCCTGCTCTTATATGGAACCCATGCTATGACTATCGGTACATGTAAGCAGATCTGTGTTAATGGTCTAATCATGATAATATGATAAAATATTTTTTTTAAATTCAAAACATATTTCTATTGCACGTTATGCAAATTTTCACAGAAAACAAATACTATTAAAATGAAATTTTGAAATATTTACTTTTTGAATGAAAATCTGAAAGACTTGATACTGCAATAAAGTAGAAGTCTATCGTTGTTTTTACACTGATATTGATTAGAGCGCCACTGAGAAAAAAGTTCATAAAGAGGTCAAAATAAATAAAACTGTGATGTGTTATCACTTTTGATATATAAATAAGCAGTTTATTTTAAAATATTAATATTAAAACACGTTAAAAATATATTAGAAATATCAACAAATTTGTAACAATTTACATAATATGGTGTTAATAACGAGGGCGAGCGACTTCACGAGCCCTGTAATAAACCACACGTCACACAATTCTAATCTAGTTTCCTTTATTAATTTTGTCCTATTTTTATACAAAGGAAATCAATTCACACTGAAACACCATCATTTGTTATATAATCTAAAAATGTGTTTTTGAAGCATTTTGATCACAGGACTGAGTATGTACGAGAAATTTGAGAAATCTGATGGAGCGGGGGAAATATAGACTTTATCAAAACTAATACTTCGAGATTAATAAAAAAATAAAATATTGTAAGCTTTGAGATCGACACTTGCACTTACACTGTCTTTAAATCTCAGAGAAACTTGAGTAAGATGAAAATGAAATGTCAAAATAGTTACAATTTTAATATCTTAACAGTTATTGAGCAGACACTATCAGAATTTGCTCTCGTCTCAAATCCGTCAAAGTGCAATGGGTCGTAGTTTACTAGTGCAGTTTTTGTACTATTTTTGTAATGTTTTTAACATAGTTTTTTTAATCATAGATTTTTATATTCGTTTTACAGGAACTATCACTTACAAAACACTTTTATATAAATGTTCCCTTAGAAGTATTTTATTTGCTTACACATGCGTGCTTAAATCAGACAGTGTCTTATGTATTTAACAACACGCAATTGGTTGATAGTGCACTTAAAGCAAGTCGTCTTGTTGAGGGCGGAAGCCGGTAAATTTCAAAGAGTTGTCTGCAGATAAGAGAGAAGTACAGAAAAACAGTGCTCCCACGCTGTATACATTTGACAACTTGCGATATACATTGATATTGTTTAGAATGACATCGTAATTATTTACAATATTTGCAATTAATGATAAAAATCTACAATCTGACTTGTGAGCAGGTTTAGAGATTGATTTTTTGTGATAGGTTTTAGAGTTAATTTTGGTTCATTTACTTCAATGTTGAAAGTTTGACATAAATGAACTCCAAACTGATAGAGTCAAATGAAAAAGAGATAGTGGATTGTTCAATTCATGGTCAATATACAGTGATGAGCAACTACAGACCTATTGCAGAAAGATTTATTGACTAAAGTTAATTTTTGGAGGGTTCACAATAAATTGGCAATTTCAAGGTCATTTATATAAAATTTCCTCCTTTGCAGACTTTTTCTTAAGTATTAAAGATATTTTTATTCCCACTCTCAAAGTTTCCAGAAATTGAGTTTTAATTTTGCCTCTCATTTTATTCTGAGAAATAAAATGTGGGCATTTACACAAATATTTTTTTGTGCTTATTCTAATCAAAAAGTCCAGTTTATAATAAAAACACCAAAATGCCACAGAGATGAATTTTTGTGTTTTTCTTAGTCACACAGTTGTCCTCTTGCTGTTCTTGTATGTCGTCGTCCATCCATTTTCTATCGTCTGTCTTGCTTAAAATTTTCACATTTTCATCTTTTTCGTAATCACTGGGTCTATTTCAACAAAAGTCGTAACACGACATCTTTTGATGATTGGATTTCCATTTTTTTCCAAATAAAAGAACCAGTTCTTTTTTAAGTTTAAAATCGTGAAAGTGATTTTGTACACGATGGCTGCAGTGAAAATGCAGAAAAAAAATCTTCAAAATCTTATTCCCAAAGATATGAGCTTCACTAAATATCAGATTTATTTTCAAAGATTCTCATGTAGTACAGTTTCAGAGATAACGGTACGTTCATGTTTTTACACTGAATTGTATAAAGCAAATTATTTCGATTCTCACTGACTGTAGGACTATATATTATATTGTCTATTCAAATACTTTTTTCAATCTATGCCAATCCAAATACCCTTCCCGAAATAAGCCAGGAAGTGGCTGTAATGTTTTTGAATAAGAAAACATTTTTTTTCTTCAATTATCAAGACACATAATTCTTGACTTTATATTCTAAAGAAATCCCCCCAAATGATTCCACTTGTCAAATTATTACAAGAAATATCGTCGTGTAGTTGTTTGCTTTTAGGCTTTCAAGTTTTAACAAAGGTAAAATGATAATGATTTTAAAAAAAAAACATAGCACGTGATGTGGTCCAGTAAAAATAATTGCATAGTAACACTCAGATGTC